TCTACATTGTTTTTGTTTAACTATATGGTATCAGAATATCAAGGTGAGGAATTCTTGGATGAAGGGAGCCGAGAGTGTATCGGAAGCAGCCTTTCTATCCCAGGGTAGAGGTAAGGTTTGCGTACACACTATCCTCTCCATACCCCACTAGTGAGATTATATTGAGTTGTTGTTGTTGTTGTTGTTGTATCAGAATAGCTATTATAGTCCGACTAATCCAAATTCGTGATATATAGGTCCCTAAGGGGAAACACTATCATTATATCAGAAAAATTTTCATTCGCAAGGATCAAATTTGAGAAACTCCGATTAAGGATGGAAAAGTATTATTCATCCCATCACATCCTCGATGGTACGTCACTTATTTATGTTTAGTTTTTATTGTTGAGATATATAATATGGCTACGATAAAATATAAATAGAGAAAGAAGGGTCGTAGAACTTTTATAAGTAATATAATATGGCCACGATGAACAGCTCACGTACGAATTGATGGAAGTTGCTCTTGGGTTTCTTCATATATACTATTATGAACAAAAATAGAAGACTTCACTAGATGCATTCTTTACCTCTTATAGCGAAATGGTAACGATATACATATGAATGGGGCTCACGCATTGATTATCCTTAGAAGACGAACATGCAAGCAACAAGTAATTTAATTTTATAGAAAACTCATCGTTTGGTGAAAGTTTAAATTACTATATGAAATGTCTAATTTTGATAGATAACACCACCAAAGGATGCGGTGTAATGGATAAGTGGTTTCTCCATTAATTAGAGTTCTCGAGTTATAGTCCTAGGTATGGAAAACTTCTTGGTAGGGAGCTAGCGCTATTTCCCTCCCCTCCGAATGGAGCCCTACCCATCGCGAATTCGGATATAGTCGGGTTCCAATGCGGGTACCGGACAACGAGCAAGAAACCAAAAGAATTTTGATAGATGACATGACCATAGTTTATCAATTACTATTTATAAAGATGTTCATTGGTTTGAATCTTTTATATCGACTACTCAACATATTTATACGTAATGAAGTCTTATATATACAAATATGATTTAATTTTTGACAAGTTCTTATAACTTATGTTGTTACACATTTAGAGGTATGGTCTTGCCCCCTTCCCCCTTTTTCTATCTTCACACTTCACAAACTTTTTCCTTTTTTTTCCGGAGATTATTATTGAAAACTCACTTGCATCAGGTATTTACGATGGCGAAGCCAGAAAATTTAATAAGGGAGTTCAAATTTTGAACACCCTTTGCTCAGTGGCGGAGTCACATTGAACCAAGGGGTGTCAAGCGACGCCCCTTCGCCGGAAATTTATACTATATTGGTAGATAATTTTTTTAATATTATATATATATTTACTATGCGTTGACTCCCCTTGACTCTTCGATATAGCTAATTTTTTATATTTTGACACCCCTTGATGAAAATTCTGGCTCCGCCACTGCCTTTGCCGGTGAGCTATGCAAGAGTGTTCAAAATCTATTTTTAATCAATAACAAATAATATTTTACCTTATACATACTATAATTTTTCGGCGAATGGGTAAATTGACCATCCTTGAGCCAACATAGCTTCGCTGTGGGTATTTACCAAACCATACTATGATACTAATTTATCATGCAAACTGGATCACCAAGCGAACCAATTGATATCGAGTCTCTTAATTCAATTAATTATATATACGCGTAAGATTGAACGATATCTGAACAATTCATTCTAAACTAGCCAAGAATTAATCCTAAATAGAACGATATCTAACAATCGATTCACACAAACACTAAAACTTTTGCTAATACAGAATTTATGGAACAAACTCTATGAGTTCTTACTTCTTACACTTGTCAAATTGAAACTAAAAGAGCACAAAGGTAAGTTGTGACTCTCTGCTCCAACGAAATTGATCGATAATCTGTCGCTAAATTGCTCATATCTAACGGAATCTTTAATAATATATCACTGACCCGCTATTAAACTGATTTAGCGACCAAAATATGTTGTTTAGCAATGGAATCTGTCGGACGCTAGCTTTACTTCAGAATCTGTAAGAGAATGCGAGAGATGAGTAGTCTCGACATATGACAGAATTAAAGACCGTAATTACGTAAACAATAACATAATTATGGACGCTGCAGGACTTTTATAATCAAGTGGAGATATTTATATTTGAGGAAGAGATCTAGTTAAACATGATTAAATTAATTAGTTGACTTTTTTTTTAATTTACTTGATTGGATATATTTTTAGATTGGTCCACGAAATAAATTTACTCATTCACTTGAAGACTCAGATAGTATGTTCTATTCTTGTTAAAATAGCAAAACGTATAAAAGTAAATATTGACAAGTAAATAGAGGGAGTTTTTGGAGATCTAAATTTATTGGCGCAAAATATAGATCAGCATTTACTCTATTTGCCACATAACTAATTTCAATCAAAACATTCCCAGTAGGAATTACTCACTTTCAAAGGAGCACAGGACAGTGACCTTTTCCCACCCAGAATTTCGAGTGTGTTATTTGATCAATTAGTGCAATCACCAACCCAATATTAAATCATAACAATTAAAAAGTAATTTAATTTTAAAGAGAAAAGAAAAAGCAAAATTGCAATTTTGATAAATGCAAATCGAACTAAATATATCTTTCGTAATCGCCAGAATTAGTGATAGTTTTCCCAACTCTCTCTTCTATATGATCACGCGATATTATTTAAGAATCAAACATTTCTTTTCAGAGAACGATTTTCTCAAACATTCGTGAAATATTATTTTCTAAATGTTTTGTTTACAGTACATTTATACATATAGTTATATTAGGTAAAATATGTTATGGCACGTGGCCACTGGCCACCCAAAAAGGGACACGTGGAACCCAAGCTGGGAAGAACGTAAGACCAGACGCAACTATTCTGTGAGTCACCGGAAAAGATAACATTCATAAAGGCATTGAATACTCTGCGCCCGGTAGCATTCAATGAGGGATATTCCACAACATTAAGAGCAACAGCCCGTTACAGAGAACTTGACATTTATATATGTTCATCGTTACGTCTTCATCAATGCTCCTCATAATTGACATTAAAGAAGGGCACGACCCAAGTACCTTCTTCATAGGTATAAATAATAAGGTTAATGATCATTGTAAGGGACACGTATTTTCTGGCAAAACTTACAATGTATTCTATACAAAGCTCAATACAATTTTATTAACTTGCTTTTTGATCTCATCATTACTGTGCCAGGACGCTTTGCTCACAAAACTATCATTTCTGCTATATATTTCAAGGCTAAGTATTTTACATTTATATAATTGTTGTATTATTTCACGATCAAATTAATTCACTTGTCTAGAAACCACGTATAAATTCAACTATACTGTTTTACGGGTAAACAGTTTAGCGCCCACCGTGGGGCCTAGACAGTCGTGCAATTGAATTGATCCTTGCCTTTTTTACTAACGTGTTTTGATTACTTTGTCTTAGCAAAAATCACAAAAAAATGGCATATAACAATGTTAACGGCACACGCAACCCTGAAATTCAAGGGAAACAGACTCATTTCGAAGATTCAATTAGTGACACTCGCAATGAGGGGAACGACGCCACACCGGTGCATGACAGGCAGTACCCTCGACAGGTTCGGGAGACCACTCCTGATGATGCTGAGGCGGTACTCTCAACAGGTTCGGGAAATGACTCCTAAGTATTTTACATTTCTGTAATTATTGTATTATTTCACGATCAAATTAATTCATTTGTCTAGAAACCACGTATAAATTCAACTGTACCGTTTTACGGGTAACTAGTTTGGCGCCCACTGTGGGGCCTAGACAACCGTGCAATTGAATTGATCCTTGCCTTTTTTACTAATGTGTTTTGATTACTTTGTCTTAGCAAAAATCATTAAAAAAATGGCAGATAACACTGATAACAGCACACGCGACCCTGAAATTCAAGGGGAACAACCTCATTTTGAGGATTCAATTAGTGACACTCGCAATGAGGAGCATGTAGCAGATACAGTGAGGGTCTTGCAAGAGCAACAAGCAATCATTCTAGGCCATCTCACGTGACAGGATCAGGTAATGACAAAACTGAAACATGCGCTATCAGGTGCTTCAAATAATGCAAACATGCGAGATCTAATTCCTTTCGATGTTCCCATAAATCAAACGATGCAACGAGTCGATAACAACACTCCCAGGGGTGAAGTTGGCTCCGACGGGGCCGGGATAGTAGATCTGGCCTCAACAGGGAGAACGATCCGTTCAAGGATGAACTTTTGCAGTTCATGAAGGAAGTAAACGCCCACATTGATCAAATCCCAGGCGCATCACCAGTATTGAAAGGCCCGAACTCAAAGAAGTATATTCAATTACCGTACAAGCCGAGTGCGGCACCAAAACTAATCCTGAAGCGGTTCAAAATGCCTGAAATTCCAAAGTATGATGGAACTTCAGACCCACATGAGCATATTACCACATATACAATGACGATGAAGGATAATGATTTAGCTCCTCACGAAATTGAATCAATGTTGCTAAAGAAATTCGGAGAAACTCTCGCGAGGGGAGCTTTAACGTGGTATTCATTATTGCCCGAGCATTCCATATATTCCTTCGAGATACTCGTGGATTCCTTCATTAAGGCTCATGCTGAGGCCATAAAAGTGCAAGCCCGGAAGGCCGATATATTTCGGATCGCACAGGGAGAATCTGAATTATTACGAGAGTTTATTACCTGATTCTAGAAGGAAAGGATGTCGCTCCCGACCGTCCCGGATGAATGGGCAGCTGAACATTCACCAAAAGATTGAACCCAAGAAGTTCGGACACTTCCCAGAAGCTGAAGAAGAGCCTGCTAGAGTTCCAAGCAATGACTTGGGCAGACGTCCATAACCGTTGCGAGTTGAAGATAAGGATCGAAGATGACTAGGTCGGATCCACATCATCGGGCAAAGGACGGGAGAAGAACATAGTTAAAGCAAAGGATGACTGCGACGCAGACAGAAGAACTTCAAGGGGCCGGCTTTTACCCTACGAGCGGACAGAAGGCCATGGCAGGAACTTTCGAGCATCAAACAAGTTCACCGTTGACAGAGGGACCGATCGTGATCGAAACAGTAGATCGCTTCAAGATAAAGAGACGTCGGGGTCTCGGGATCTTTCTTACACCAGGTTATCAGAATATAACTTCGACATCAGTATAGTGGAACTGGTGTCAACCATGAGAAATATTAAAGGGGCACAGTTCCCAAGACCTATGAGATACGATACCGGCCAGAGGAATCCTAACTTATGGTGCGAATACCACGGGATGAACGGTCACTGGACAAGAGACTGTCGACATCTCCAGGAATAAGTGTCAACGCTGTTAAAGAATGGTCATCTCAGAGAATTCTTGAGCGACCGAGCTAAGAACAATTACGGTTGTAATAGAGATAATATAGAATCTCCGAAATCAGGAGAAGAACCCCCATGCCAAACGATCAATATGATCTTCGGGGGGAACGAGATTAATGGGGTCACCTTTTCGGAGGAAAATAAGACCAAAGTATCAATAACTCATAGTAAAAGACTCTGGGAAGACGATATCACTTTCACGGAGGAGGACGCTGATGGATTGTTATTACCACACAACGACGCACTGGTAATTTCTTTAAATGTGTTAGGTTTTAAGATTAAACGTGTTCTAGTGGATACAGAAAGTTTGGCTAATATCATACAATGGAGAGTATTGGAGAAAGATAAACTTACCGGGATTATCGTTCCGGCAACAAAGCATCTCGCTGGATTCAACCTTGCGAGTATGACGACCCAGGGAGAGATTTTGCTACTCACGAACGCTAAAGGGGTAATGAAAACAACTCTCTTAGAAGTAGTAGATGGCGATAAAGGATACAATATTATCCTGGTAAGGCCATGGTTGCACGATATGAAAGTCGTACCTTCGACATATCACCAATTGCTGAAGTTTCCAATGCCCGAAGGAATCAAACAAATAAGAGGCGAGCAACTAACAGTAAGAGAGACGAATGCAATCTTAGTTTCCAGTAGCAAAGGAAAGGAACACAAAGCATAGAGATTATAGGAACCGATGCCTACTCCCGAGCTACAAGTAATTATCCCAGAAGCAGAGTCATCAGATCAATATCAGGTGCCGAGATACTTTCAAGTTCCAGAAGAGACAGACACAACGAAGTCCATGGTGGAAGAATTAGAGCATGTGGCATTATTTGAGGAATTCCTAGAGAGGAAGTTCCATTTAGGACAGGACTGCACCCGGAGCTCAGGTCTGTTTTTAATGAATTCCTTAAAATTAATACCGATTGCTTTGCATGGTCGCACGAGGATATGACATGTATCCCAACTGAAAATCCATGTACAAACTGAGTTTGGATTCCAGCATACCTCCAGTAAGGCAGAAAAAATGCCTTATTGCTGAGGCCAGGAATAAATTCGTCAAAGAAGAGGTAACCTGCACACTTAAAATCGGTTCGGTCCGAGAGGTAAGATATCCGAATTGGTTGGCCAATGTAGTAGTAGTTCCTAATAAGAACAATAAATTTCGCATGTGTGTAGACTATAAATATCTAAATAAGGCATGCCCGAAAGACTCGTTCCCATTGCCAAACATCGATCAGATGATTGATGCCATGGCCGGGCACGAGTTAATGAGTTTCCTCGATGCTTATTCCGGGTACAACTAAATCAAGATGAACCCGGAAGATCATGAAAACACTTCATTTATAACGGATTTTGGTACATACTACTATAATGTAGTGCCCATCGGGTTGAAAAACGCCGGAGCCACTTATCAATGGCTCGTAAATAAAATGTTGGAAAAACAAATAGGAAAAACTATGGAGGTTTATATAGATGATATGCTCGTTAAGTCTTTGAATATAGGTGACCATATTAAGCATCTGCAATAAACATTTGACATCCTAAGGAAGCATAACATGAAACTTAACCCCGAGAAATGCGTGTTCGGGGTCAGTTCTGGTAAGTTACTGGGGTTTCTGGTCTCGCAAAGGGGAATTGAGTTAAACCCCGACAAAATCAAGGCCATAGAGGATATCCCAGATCAATTGACGAACGTAAAAGAGGTCTATCGACTCACAGGAAGATTAGCAGCTCTGAGCAGGTTCATTTCCCGGTCGTTGGAAAAATGTTATCGCTTCTTCACATTACTCAAGAAGAAGAATAATTTCAAATGGACACCAGAGTGTCAGCAGGCTTTGAGGGACCTTTAAGAAATACTTATCAAGCCCTTCCTTGCTTTCAAAACCAAAAGAAGGCGAAATATTGCTAGTCTACCTCGCGGTTTCAGAAGTTGCGGTAAGTGCATTTTTAGTCTGGGAGGACGAAGGTACGTAATTTCTCATTTATTACGTTAGCAAAATTTTAACGGGAGCAGAAACTCTCTACCCACATTTGGAAAAACTAGCTTTAGCTCTCGTAGTGACCGCTTGGAAGCTGAGGCCCTACTTCCAATGTCACCCGATAGTTGTGGTGACTACTTTCCCTTTGTAGAAGATCCTCCACAAACCTGATCTCTCGGGTAGATTGGTCAAATGGGCCGTCGAAATGAGTGAATTTGACATAGAATATAAATCGAGGACTGCAATTAAGTCACAGGTCTTGGCTGACTTCGTGGCCGATTTTAGTCCGGGACTGCTACCCTTGGCAACCAAGGAGGCAGTAATAGTATCGGAATCAACATCGGGGGTTTGGACCTAATTTACGGACGGATCTTCAAACGTAAAAGGGTACGGTCTCAGAATAGTCTTAATCACGCCTTCGGGGGAAACCTTAAGGCAAGCCATCAGAACGATCCATTTAACTAACAATGAAGCAGAGTATGAAGCTTTGATTGTTGGGCTCGAATTGGCCTGGGGACTTGATTCCGAGGTTATCGTAATCAAATATGACTCACAGCTGGTGGTAAATCAAGTTTACGGAATATTTGATACCAAATAAGAATGTATGCAACAATAAGTGGTAAAGGTCCAGGATCTTTTGGCACGATTCTGGGAGTAGTTAATTACTTATGTCCTGAGGGAGGACAACGCGGAAGCGGATGCAATAGCTAGGATCCTCAATGGAAATGAAGGGATCAGAATTCAGGACAGTAGTGCAATTGAGGAATTCGGCCCTGGATACGGATGGTTACTATGAGTTAAATTCGACTACTCTGGTCTGGGACTGGAGAAACGAGATAATCAACTATTGCGAACACGGGAAGTTGCCTGAAAACCCGAAAGCATCGCGAGCGTTACACACCAAAGCGGCGTGCTACACCTTTAAAAGAGGCCAATTTTATAGAAAACCCTTCCAAGGCATGTTGGCCCGGTGCTTAGGAGCGTCAGAAGCTAACTATGTCATGAGAGAAATCCACGAAGGGATATGCGACAATCACTCTGGCGCAGACTCCCTAGTGTTGAAACTGGTACGAGTAGGATATTACTGGCCTCGCATGGAGCAAGACGCCAAAGACTTCATATGAAAATGTGATAGGTGCCAACGCTATGCACCGCTAGTATACCAACCAGCGGAACCATTACATTCGGTTCTATCCCCATGGCAGTTCATGAAATGGGGATGGACATCGCCGGACCACTATCACCGGCCCCCGGAAAGGTAAGCTTTCTTTTAATTTTAACTGATTATTTTTCTAAATGGGTGGAAGTAGGTTCTTATCAGAAGATCGGAGAACGCGATATGATCAATTTCTTGTAGGAAAATATAATTTGCAAGTTCGGCATACCCAAAGAAATAGCATGCGACAACGGGCCACAGTTCGTCGGTGCAAAAATTACAAAATTCCAAGAAGATTGAAAAATAAAAAGGATCACATCTTCGCCTTATCATCCGAGCGCAAACGGTCAAGCAGAGTCAACAAACAAAGTAATTATTCTAAACCTCAAGAAAAGGTTGGAAACAGCAAAGGGCAAATGGCCCGAAGCATTACCCAAAGTTCTGTGGGCCTACCGAACAACGGCCAAGTCAAGCACAGGAGAAACCCATTTTTCCCTTATGTACGGTGCCGAAGCCTTAATCCTGGCGGAAGTGAGCGAGCCCACTTTGAGATATTTTCAGGCAGATGAAGAATCAAATAGCAAAGCGATGTTAGCCAACTTGGAATTGCTCGAGGAATGCCGGGACTTGGCACATGTAAGAATGGCAGCTCAGAAGCAGAGAATGGATCGATATTATAATTGAAGAGCCAACCTCCGTTATTTCAAAGTAAGAGACTTGATCTTGAGGAAGGTAACTCAAAACACCAGGGAACTCAACGCGAGCAAGTTAGGCTCAACATGGGAAGGTCCTTACCGGGTTTCAGCTATCACTGGGAAATGATCATACGAGTTGGAGAACCAGAATGGAGACAAGCTGCCCAGAAACTGGAACATGGCTCACCTCAAAAGATATTACTGCTGATGAACAACAGTCAAACGGAAAGTATGTGCTGTACTCTTTTCCCCTTCATTTAGTTTTTGTCCCAATTGGGTTTTTCTGGCAAGGTTTTTAATGAGGCAGCGATGAAGAGCATACTACGAAGACAACAATGATAAGACCTTTGATAACAAGGCAAGCAAACAAATTTCCACTCGGTATCGATTAGATAATCTTTGCTTCGATAGAAATTCCCACCGGAAAGTTGCGTTTGCTGCCGAACAGAGGTTATCCGACCATTCACGAGCACAAACAACTAGAGGACTGTTAGGCATTCTTTCGCTCTATAGCATGGATTCCTAAGGGGAAGCAAAGTATGTTTCCAAGTGAAGGCTTACCTAGCAATTCATTGGTGGAGCCTTCGAGGATACAAGACTTCAAGTGTTCCAATTCCCACTTTCCATATTCGAAAATTGGGGGAATAATATGAGGATACAATAACAATGACTGCCACGTCAACCGAGAACGAAAATCCGAAAACAAAATGCTTCATCGGGATCGGGGACTGCGCAGCCAGCTTCGCAGAATCAAGTTGTACAAGATAGCCACATGTAATAGTAATTTCTTTTTTGCATAACAAGATGCTTATGTATATTTTGAAATAAAAGGAATAAAATAAAATCCTTTTGCTTTTATCTTGTTTCTTGTCTGAACGATGAGCTAACTTTGTCATTTGAAAGTTGAACAAGTGCTTCAAATGTCAGTGCCATAATGAACATGAGACGTCCTCTTCATAAGAGGGCCCTCTCTTATAAACAACCTCACGTTAAAGGGTTGGTTCCGTAAGAATTTATGCCCAGAATCAAAAATGTTATCGGAGAAAAATACACCTGAAGTCGCATATGGAAAGGACGCAAAAAGAAAACTTGCGCAAATACTTATTGAAACCCTCACGTAAAAGGGATAATGCTCGAAAACAAAATACATCAAAGAAAATGCATCCGAGACCACATACAGAAAAATGTGAACCGAAAACCATGCGCAGAATCCTTAAGAGAATACAAAGGTTAAAAACCTTGCACGAATATTCAAGCAAAAGTAAGATTCAAACAAACATTTGAGCAACAATACGTATTCATTTATAAGAACGTGCCAAAAGAAATATAAAATAGGAAAAGACAAGTAAAGCTAAACTGCAGTGCCTCCGGGCCCAGGAGGAAGAGAATTGTCCACGCCCCCGGGAGTGGTAGATGATTCCACCGATGGCCCGATATTTTCCCCAGTCTGATCTTCAACATCATCGCCCTTCGATTCTTCTTTAGTTGTCGAAAATTCAGAACCATAACAAGATCGGCTAGATACATCAGACCTCGATGAAAGGCCAGTCTTAGCGGCTAACTCAAGCTCGCGTGACTTAAAAATTTCGGCATCAATATCAATGACACCATCTTTGGCTTCTTCCAAGGTTTTTCCCCTCATGTTGTACATGGCATAAGTTATTTCAACAATGAGGGAAACATCTCGGCGCTTGAGGTCTTGTTTGAGTTGGGTTATCTCGGCAGAAAGATTTTCCCAGGCGGACCTAGCAGACTTAAGGCTGACATCAAGCTAGTGAACAGTTGAAATAAAGAGTCTTCTATGCTCGATAGTTTTCCTGTACTTCTCTTCTAGATGGGCATGTTT